AGTAGTTAGCAAATGAGTGATCATTTTCTACATGTCATAATTTTACCTTTATCCCACTATTTCCTCCTACACCTTCAAGCAAAGGGGCCAACATATCATTCCCCAGATCACTAAGCCACAATTCTCTCCAGATTTCTCCACCAAAATACACATGAATTGTGTTGTCTAAAGACATAGCCCTTCAACAGCATTGCACATCCTCCAAATCATACCTAATGTTCAAAAGCAGTACTAGATACAAAACACAAGAGTACTTGAGAAATAGATGTTACTAAGAAGAGGTCATCTCCAAGTTCAGGCTCACCTGCTTCTTTCTTATATGTTCTTCCAATGCTAACTCCTTAACATTGATTACTTTGGAGTGCCACAATGTCATTTTCAGTGTCCTTGCAGCATTTATTTGGCTCACTGATTTCGCCTTACTGGTTTATTTATAGTTATGAATTTATTAATAAATTTACTTATTCATCCATGTACTTATTCACCACGTTAATCCAGAATGGATGGCAGCTGACACACAAAAATACATAAAATGCAACATGAACCGATATATTCAAAACAGATAAGGATGTAAAGCGAAAAAAAAAAAAAACAAAATGAAGTTAAGAACATAAAATGAAGTTAGAACACAGCTGGTACAAAGTGCATACATACCAAGAAGTCTCATTGTAACTGCTATTCATGAACCATATATTAGGTCCCAAGCATTCTAGTAGTCAACAAAAGAGAAACATCACAATTCACACTGTCTAGAAAAGAAAATCAAACCACTTATTTACTCTATCTTTTTTCAGGTCTAAATCCTTTAAATTTTGTATAGTATAGTATCAATTAAATGGTGCCAAACTGTGCCCCCTATGTTGCTTTAACATCAATACTCAGCTCCTACAACAGTCTCCAACATTTCCTTAATCTCAAAAATAAAATCTACCTCATATTTTTCCTTTTATCTATCTCTTGTTCCATTTGATCAATGAAAGGTAGCTATTAGACTTCTAAAAAAAAAAAAACAACAACAACATACAGATGTTCTCTAATACAAACAGAAAATTTTAAATTTCCCAATATCGCAACCAAATCAACTATTTTCAATTACTAATAAAGTCGGTGTTATTTATAATTGAAAATATTAGGAAATGACCCCAGGTATCTAAACAGAAAAATACTTAAATTAAGCATGATCCCACAGTATGTTAACATATTACACAGTGTTCAAAAGTGCATTTATAAACTTTATAAAGGAGGCAAATATTCTTGAGAAAATGGTAAATAAAAAAGCAGATTACAAAAATGTATATATACATTGTGATATCAACTATATAAACATATAAATAAGTAATACACACATGCATGAAGAATCTAAAAAGAAATCTACCAACATGTTAGCATAATTTCTGAGATTTATGATTGAGTGATTTTTATTTTATAAATGTTTATCTTTAATTTACAAGTTGATATTGATGAATAATGTTGATATGATGAGAAAAAAGTTTATGAGGAAAAATATCAATCCAGTTACTTTTGGCTTATAGAAGTATGAGGATATTTTAGTTTCTTTAAAGTGTTCTATCATGAACATATAGATTACAGTCATGGCAAAAGCTCCTTTAAAAAGGTATAAATTCACCAACCTAGTCTGTTGGTTGTGGAAGCTATTAAATGCCACAACCATAATAGTAATACTCACAATTACCTAGCAACAGTTAATTTACATTTTGTAAAACTCAGGTAATTACAGCTACCTTAGGTTAAAGGTACAAGATTTGATAAGGTTGGCAGACTCTGCCATCTTCATTTAATACTTGATAAAAATTCAGGCTCATAGAAGCTACACGACTGCCCCAAAGTTACAGTCATTATTGCCAGAGTGCTACATGAATATAGGCCTCCAAAACCCTGCTCTATTTATTAATTCAAAAATGACTGTGATGTTACTCAAATAACCATCAGGCAGCACAGACAGAGAAACCATATGCTCTCTACAACCCTGAAGGTCAAGTTTTTAGATAAACCTGTTGTTAGCAAAGTTTAAATGAGGAAATTTTGGCAATAGGAGAGAAAAACATGGGCATTAAAAATGTTGTCACAAGTTAACATTTTAAATATCTTATAAATATTTCATATGCAATAATAATAACAATAACACACTAAGTAAAGAGAACAAGGAAAGTTTCCAATATTTAAAATAGTAATAGTGAAAGGCTCTACATAGTTTTGCTTAGAGCTTGAGAGGATTTCCAGGTATGATAAGAACATACACATTACTCTTTGGTAGTCAAAATGGAGGTGACAGTGAAGTGATGTACAGTGGTGAACTGTTACTTCAAATCATGGAAATAAATGCTCTCAGAGTCTTTCAAATCCCATCTTGAAGCTGTATCAAGAACATGAATATAAGTAGCGTTATTTAATGACTTTATCCCATTCTGAAGAAGACTTCTGGCTTATGTATTTTTGGAAGAAACTAAACCATTTCTTTATTGAATTCAATAAGCTCATTAGAGCTATAAAAGGAACTTATCAGCTATCCAGTAAAGCCATTTAAATGCCACTACCTTAGGAATTTAGGACTTTTTGACATTAATTTATTCTCACTACAATGTTTAAAAAGAAAAATACATTTATAGCACTTCTTTGTAAGTGTAATTAAATCATCCAAGCATTCTCTGAAGTTAGTGAGCATGTCAGCTGTCCATTAATATAAGTAAATGGTAATTGAAGACTTAAAAGTTTGAATTAAGATGGTTTCTGGTGATTTTTTCATAATATCCGATTCTTCAAAATCATTTAAGTTTTGAGCAGGTAATATGTGACCAGAACAGACCCCAATATTCATTAGTTTTCTTGGAATAGTTTACTATTTTTCTAAAAAATGGCTCCCCTTCCCTACAATTTTGTCTGCCATTCTCAAAGCCTCCTAATTATCTTTATTGTCTCATAATAATCACCTCTGGCATACAAAAATCTCTCTGGGGATCATCCTATAAAATATCCTACCACATATTAGTGTGAACAACTTTATAGTCAAATTTAGTTCCATAAAAATTTCATATATCATAGGTTCTTTTTGATCCAAAATTTCACTGCCTTCAGGAGGAGATCCTGAAAGATGTTTCACTATCCCTTGACAAATCTTCTGGGTTGCACTAATACCAGACTTTGGTAAACTAGTTAATGCCTCTCTTATTAAGGATACGGCATTATTAATGGTGTAAGAATCCCTCACATTAGTACCTTCAGAACCTTTTTGTGAGATGTTCAATTGTTAAACATACAACTACTCAATCTTCCTGAATGGCTGGACCATACATTGATATACGAACTGAAAGATTAAGTATGGCTGGTTTATTCCAGAACATGTCCATATTGACAAATGTATGTAGTACCAAATAGATGATAAGAATTCAACATTGTGTTCTTTCAAGTAGTCTTGAATTTCACTAAGAAAGCACTGTTCAAGCCATTCCTGAGTGAGAAATGAAGCCAACCAAGCTCTTCTGTGTGCATGCCAGTTTAAGAAAAAATTGACTATGATTTTTCTCCGGAGAAGAGTTGGACATACTTTTCTGGAGAACAGCAGTGGTTTCACTATGAGGTCACTTGAACTATTGACACAAAACAAAAATGTCAACTCCTCTGATCTCCAAATCTCCTGCTCTTTAAAAGAACAAGTGGGATTTTTCAAAGACACTAAAAACATGCACTTCCAATAGCAGCAATAATTTATGTATTGCCATCCACTATTTATCCATTGCCCAAAAATGTAGCAGAGGTAATATATGGATCTTTTCTTTGACATCATTATTACAAATGACTTAGTCTTTAGATAGTGACACACCTTCAATTCTCAAACTACCCTTTGCTTTCAGGAAATAGTTTCTAAGATCCACATAAGTACTAGCAAACATGTTTTTAAAATTCTCCATTATATGGTCACAGATCCCTTTTATGGAAGGTAAGTTATCCTCTTATTTCTCTTCAATCCTTATGTCATGAGGAGAAAACATCTTATAAGGATACAAGAGGCAATACAGTTACTAACAAGAATTTCAGCTCTTCTTATGACACAAACTGTAAATTCATTAACACTATATAAAACCCCCCAAACTACTTATTTTACCTTGAAGACACAGACAATAATTATTTTTTTCAAAGACATTACCTTTCTTTTCCACTTGCCAATGTTGCTGATGCTCACTTTACTCACATACTACTCAATAGTTACATCTAGAGAAGCCATATTTCAGCTTTCCAGCAGTTAATACAACTTTATAAGTAACTTACTAAAATAATCACAGAACCAAGAGTCACAAGGTAAGCATATGGTACTTAAGACACAAGTTGCATTATGAATGCCACACGGATAAATTATAATATATTGTGACGTTCATGAACATAGAACTGACCACATAGGTGACAACTGGTAGAGGGATAAAGGAAATAATGGACAATGGACTATTCCTTCCTACCTTGTGATTCACACAGACAACATGATGGTAACTTAGACTTATTCCTGTATGATTAACTCAGAATCTTCAGTTGCCAAGAAGACATACAGAAGTAAATCTACCTAATACACTCAAATGTCAAAAACACACAATTCCTAGAGTTAGGAATAAATTGCTTTAAAAACTACCCTAAGTTTTCAGAAAGCCAGTTGCTGTTTATACACTCAGTGCAGTGTTTTTGGGATGGTTTCACTTTACTTAAATCTATAAATTCAATTTATGTGAGAGGCAAACACAGCATGTATGTATGTGTATATATATATATATATATATATATATATATATGTATATGTATATATATATATATATCCGTTATCCCATAGAAAGTCAATCAAATATGATCCTCTGACAAAACACAACCCCTGAAGATGTAGGTGTAAAGGTCAGGCAGGCCCTGAACAGCCTGTGCTCCAGAACCAACTACCCAAGCAACAAAGAGACAATGAAAGAATAAACTGGCCCCTTTTGAACTCCCGGTCACTGATACTTTACTTTTATCCCCTCCTCCTGGGAAGATAGAGCGAAGCCTGGCTTTCTTATTCTTCTCTTCAGGGGCCATAGGGAGTGGTTTGGAGCTGTGGTTGAGTGCTGAAGAATCTCGGTTGTTACTATTCATCCTCAGTGGGGGAGCTGGGGGTTTTTCTTCATTATCCAAGCTGTCAGACATTTTCAGTTTCAGCTGATTTCACAGCTCCTAAGAAAAAGCAGTGGCAAACAGAAGGTAAGAGAAAACACATCTAATGCAAGTCTGGTACACATGGGGAGTTTAACATCTCAAAAACAGCATTGCTCCCTCATTTATTTACTTATATTTGCTATGCAGAGAGAAGACATTGTCTCTCCAAAGGCTAACAGGACAATTCACCAAAGTTGAAGTAAATGCAGTCATTAGTTGACTTTCAACACACACACACACACACACACACACACACACACTTAATCTTCCTTGATTTCCCCACAGTGACACTCTACTATCTGTTGTCCATGCACAATCTCTGAATGAACAATTTACAATCTATTTTCTTTACAAGTCCTATGCTGATTATATCATGGTCAAGAGGCACAAACATTTTACATGTTTAAGTTGACACAGCATAGTGTTGATTGTCAATGGCCCACACCTACAATTTATTAGCTGCTTTAACACTGGCATGACTTGGTGCCTGCTTCTTACTTCTGTGTACCTGATATGCAAAGTGATTTCTGCTGTTTTTAGTTTTTAAAAAATGAGAAAGCTTTTTATATACATGCCAGTTTCAGGAAGGTTGGTGTATTCTATCTTGGCAGACAATGGCAAACAACTAAAACAGGTGAGCTGAATGTCATTATGGACAAAGGGCCAAGCTCTAGCACACCAAGGACACATCATAATTTTAATCTCTATAATATTTCATGTCCTTTCATGTACAGAAATGTACCTTTGTTGTAAAATCTAGTATAGGTATAAGGATTTTTTTTTATGTATCATGAATTTCACTGTTATTTATGCTCTTATGTCAAAATCTGAGCACATTCTTGTTTCATTCAACTCTAAGAATGAACTAGAAAAAGTGTGGTATCTCCAAGGAGATGTTTGTGTCCAAGTGTCCAGGGTCCTCTTATTCTAAATCTAGTCCTCCCGTTATAGTAGATGAATCTCACAGGCACAAGTCAGGTTCCAAAAGCGTCTTTTGAAAGAATTCCTGTTTTTAATATAAGAAAAATCAAAGCTAGTTACAGTGAAATCTTTGTAAACTTATCAAGTATTAATACCAATTTAGGAATATATGAATTAATATATGAATATATTAATTCTTTAAAAGGACATTTACAGTACGTGAACATAAGTACAGTGATAACAAAGAGTTTTCTTATTAAGTTTTGGATTAAGAAATGGTTTGTCATTAGGTGGTAGTGGTGAATGGCTTTAATCCCAGCACTGGTGAGGGAGAGGCAGGCAAATCTCTGAGTTCAGGACCATCCTGGTCATCAGAGTGAGTTCCTGGACAGCCAAGGCTACAGAGAGAAACCTTGTCTCTAAAAAATCAAAGCGATCCAACCAAACAATCAAACAAACAAAAACAAAAAAAAAAAAAAAAAGAAAGAAAGCATGTGCCTTAATTCCTTTTAGCTTCAGTGGTTACAGTATTTTCATTGACTTTAATAATGACTTATAAATTATATCATATGAGGAGAATATAAATTTTTACCATATTTACCCTTTTAAAAAAATTGAACTGGGGGGGGGGGGACAAGATGGCGGCGCCAGGAGAACACCTTGTCTGAGAAGCAGAACAACACACTCCATGCAGTGACCAGGAGACTGAACTCTGGCCCTAAAACAACAGCTATCATGTTTCCCAGGTGAGGGGAGGATCCTATGGCATGGGAATCGGTCGGGTCCACTCTTGGCTGCCCAGCCAGAACCCGGAAGAGAACCCGGCTAATGCGGGCTTTGGGTCTCCAGGTGGGTGCCGCAAGCCAGTGTGTCCCGATCACTTTCCCAGGCTGATTGGTGGGCACAAGGATGCTTGAGACTACGAGTCCCAGTCGCAAAAAAACCCTACGGGGAAGGAAAGTTGCAAGACTGATCACGGGTCACCCAGTCTTTCCCTGGAAGGTCTCGCTGACCACTGGCACCCGCTGCCATCACAACTTAGCCCCCGCCGCACACGGAGAGCAGCTGCACGCCCAGCTCAAAATCCCTACTCCTTCTTGGGAGGAGGCAAAAGGCGGCCAGCAGAATCTGCCACAGACCACATTGTCTGTACCCCAACCCGAGATCGGGGCTGAGAAAACCCAAACCTTTCAGGCACTCCCCCAAATGCCGCCATAACCCTGCCGCGGCTTCACAGTGCCGGAACTCCAGTGCTGCCGGCTGCTCTTAGCAAACAAACTTCAGCTAGGGATCTGGAACTGTGGTCATTCTACACGTCCTGAGATTCAACTGGGTCCAGCGCAATAAGGTCTAGCAGCAAGTTCTATCACCGGCGCCCCCCCCCCCACGACCCCTGGCAGAGAAACGCCGGCTCAGGATCCGACTGAGAAGCCCCAAACACTGCTGGCACTCCCCTGAGAGCACCTCCATAAGCTTGCCCTAGCATAGGGGAAGGTCAGAGGGGAAGGACAGAGAGGCAGCCTGCCAAGGACACAGCACCCTCTCTCCAGCTCACCCAGCGGCCCCTAGCAGAGAAACCCAAGCTCTGGATCTGAGGACACTCAACGCTACCTGGTACTCTCTCAGGATCAGCAAACATAGATTCTACCGCCAGGCTGCTTCTGGCAGAGAGATCTGAACCCGGGATCTGGGATTGAGAACACTCAACCTAACTCTTTCCCACGCCACCCAGGGACCAGCCAACATAACCCCTCCTGGCAGAGGGAAAGGACAAAGAGGCAGCACACAGGAAAGGTGGACACCGAGTCCTGCGGCCACAGTGTCACAGAGCTGACTGTTAGCCTACCCGTGCATTTTTTGCAGCAGGACCAAATCAGAGAGTAGTGAGCAAGGGGAACCCCTGTGATTTCCAACTGGTCCTGCAAGAGAGTGAGTGAGCCTTCTAGGGAGAGATTGCCTCAGACCCAGGGCATCTCCACAGAAGCAACCAGACAAGATCCCTGTCACCCACACCCCTAGTATGGGCATCATAGGGATTCTAGGGATAGCGACCCCAACATTGAAGCCTCTACCTTGCGGGTCCACCAGAGTAATCCAGACAAACTATCCCTGGATCTCAGTGAGAACTGCGTAATATTGACTTGCACACCACTGCAATAGTCAGAGAATACGCGCATGCATACTGCGCCCACTAAAAGCGCACACGAATAGCACCAGCGTCACATTCCTTACTTAGGCAAAACTGAAACCACAACGCACACTCCCAAACCAGTGAACCCCTCTCATCTTCCTGAAAAAACAGTCCAGAAAACAGAAAGAGAGGATCATAACCCGAACTACAATCACGAGGAACAAACAGTGAGGATTATAAATAACCAGATGGCTAGAGGCAGATGTAAGAACACTCCCAACAAAAATCAGGACATAATGACCTCACCAGCAACCCCACAAAACAATGGACACTTCAATTCACTAGATATACAAGAAAATGACCTCAAAACTATGTATCTCCAGGTATTAGAAGCCCATAAAGATGAAATGAACAAAGCCCTCAGAGAAATAGCGAAAGAAATCGAGACTAACCAAGAGAAAACAAATCGTGCTCTCAGAGAAATGACCACGAAAATTGAGGCAAACAGAGAAGAAATGTACAAAGCTCTCAAAGAAATGTCCACACAAATGAAGGCAAATAAAGAAGAAATAAACAAAGCTCTCATAGAAATACAGGCAATTATACCCAGAGAAGTAGAGGCACAATTAGTGATATATAGAGAGGAAATGGACAAAAAAATAGAAGCTATCATTGAAAAGCAGGAGTCCACATTCAAACAAATGAAGGAAATGGTGCAAGACATGAAAACAGAATTAGAATCAAAAAAGAAAACACAAATAGAGAAAAACCAGGAGCTGAAGAACATAGAGAAAAGATCAGGAACTACAAAGGTAAGCATCACCAACAGAAAACAAGAGATGGAAGAAAGAATCTCAAAAGCAGAAGATACACTTGTGGAAATTGACAAGTCTCTCAAAGAAAAAATAAAATCAGACAAGTTCCAAACACAAAACATCCAAGAAATCAAGGACACCATGAAAAGACAAAACCTAAGAATAATAGGAGTAGAAGAAAAAGAAGACATCAGGCTCAAAGTTCCGGAAAATATTTTCAAGAAAATTATAGAAGAAAACTTTCCCAACTTAAAGAAGGAGATGGCCATAAACATACAAGAGTCCTACAGAACACCAAGTAGACTAGACCAGAAAAGTAACTCTTCACGTCACATCATAGTCAAAACAATGAACCTACAAAACAAAGAAAAAATTCTAAAAGCAGCAAGGGAAAAAAGCCAAGTAACATATGAAGGTAGACCTATCAGAATCACACCAGATTTCTCAACAGAAACTATGAAAGCCAGAAGGGCCTGGACAGAAATCATACAGTCTTTAAGGGACCACAGATTCCAACCCAGACTACTATACCCAGCAAAACTTTCAATCAACATAGACGAAGAATTCAAAACATTCCATGACAAAACCAAATTTAAACAATATCTACAGAGTAACCCAGCTCTACAGAAGTTACTAGAAGGGAAACTCCAAACCAAAGAAAACAACTGCATCTAAGGAAACAGAAGAAATAGATAACTACACAACAAAAAAACCAAGAGAATACAAGCAATGAAACTCAGTGACACCACCAACCCCACATCTAAAGTAAGTAACAATTGTTGGTCACTAGTTTCTATCAACATCAACAGACTTAACTCCCCAATAAAAAGACACAGACTAACAGAATGGTTGCAGAAACAGGATCCATCATTCTGTTGCATCCAAGAAACACACCTATGCAACAAAGATAAACACTACCTCAGAGTAAAGGGCTGGAAAAATGTCTTTCAAGCAAATGGTTCCAGAAAACAAGCGGGAGTAGCCATCCTAATATCTAATAAAATAGACTTTCAACCCAAGTTAATCAAAAAAGATAAGGACGGCCACTATATTCTCATCAAAGGAAAAATCCACCAAGAGGACATCACAATTTTGAATATCTATGCCCCAAATACAAGAGCACCTACATTCGTAAATGAAACAATATTAAA